GGGGGTGAGGGTGGTTCCTAAAACTGATGGTGCTGTGTATGGAGGAAGAATGGAGGGGAAAAATAAATAGATGAACATAGAATGGCATTCCAGGATAAACGAATCTGCAAGATGTAAAGCAGGGAGGTTGGAGGGTTCAGGGCTTCTTCAGCAAAGGAACAATGAGTATGCGTGCGCAAGTGAATTAGAACTGGAAAGACCTGGGGACCCCTGCAGGAGATGCCCTAAGCGGTATCCTCCCGCCACTCTAATGTCCCACCTTGTAGCCCAGGGCCCCTCCTGTGGACTGGTGGCGCCTTAACTGAGCCCTTTATATACTTAGCCAAAGCACAGCCTGCCCTCTCCTCACCATCTCCTGCGCCACCTCCTCCGCAGCATCCCGGCCGAGCTGGAACAAGAACTCGATGGCTTGGTTATCCCGTGGTCGCCCCCCGCGCCGCGCATCCTCCATGCGCAGCCAGAGCTTGAGGCCTGGCTTCTCACCGTCGTCCTCCTCCGCCAGCTCCACGTGCACACCTCGTTCCTCACGGAAGAAGGCGTGAGCCAGTAGATCCTGGATGGTGAACCTGGGAATCGCCGGGCGGTGAGCCCAGCCCGCCGCCACCGGAGCCTGGTTTCCATCCTCCCTCTCTGCCCTTGGACCCCACCTCTCGTTCTTATCCGTGCGGATGCAGCCTTCAATGATCTCCTTCACCTCGGGCATCTTCACTTTGTAGAAGCTGTTGGGTTTTGTACCCTGGGAGAAGGGATTTCATGAGGCCTCGGTCCTCAGTGCCGCAGCTCCCAGGCTGAGTGCAGGCAGTCGCCGAGGCTCAAGGACTGGTACTACTGAAAGGTGTGTTTTCAAATCCCATACCCTCCACTTAATGTCAGTGTGACCTTGCACAAGAGTCTGGCTGCCTGTTTTCTCATTTGTAAAGCGGCAGGGCAGAACGTTTGCTTCGCTCACCTTGCGGGGCAACTAGAAAGATCTGGTAAGATGGATGCCAACTCGTTCATTCGTAAAGTCTTAGGAGCGCAGCATATCTGTACATAATCTAAAGAACTGTGTGAAGGGTATTTGTGCATCCAATATACCTCCATTCTCCAGGGCACCCTTCTGTCTAACCTGGTTTTACTAAGGGAAAGGGCATTGACCTTAGGCTAGTTAAGAGAGTGGGAGGGCCACCGGGGATCCATTCTCCTCCGACCACCACCTCTCTCACCGAAGTGACCTTGCGGTATATTTGCGCAGCATTCTGGCACTCGGAATACGGGTACTCCGACGTTGCCATCTCCAGCATACACATGCCAAAGGCGTACACATCCACCGCCTCATCGTACTTTTCCTCATACATCTCCGGGGCCATGAATTCCGGAGTTCCTATAGGACCCAAAGAAAGGATCAGACTTCATCCTTGTCTCCTCCCTTCTCTTGGGTGTACTATGGGCTAGGCAGCTCAGGGGCAACCCCCAGAAGTTCTGGACTGCAGGTGACCAGCTCTTAACCATAGTGTATGTTGGGGGCAGGAGGAACAGGACTCCCTAGTTCTGGAGATTTCCAAAGCCCTGTTTGGAGCAAAGGGGGTCCCAAGCCCTTTTCTGATGGGGAAGCTTGGAACGGCAAAGACACTCCAGAACCGACGCACCAATAACGCTCTTGGCAAAGGAGGCGCGTTTGAGCGTGGCCAGTCCCAGATCTCCGATTTTGACAGAGCCTGAAGGACCGGTGATGAAGACATTGTCGCACTTGAGATCTCGGTGCAGGATCGGGGGAACCCTGGAGTGTAGGAAATGAAGTCCCCGCAGGATTTGGCGACTCCAGCGCTGAAGGACTCGGGGCTTCATCTCTCGGAACCGCCTCAGGTACCTGGGAGAAGGCGCATAACTAGAGTGGCTGTGGGATGGAAAAGCCCCTGCTGGGAACTTCCCCCACCAGTCCCCTTGCCACCATCTCGGTGTCCTCTGCTTTCATTCTTTTAGCTTATATCCGCTCTGGGACTGAGAGAAACCGAGTCAATTAGTGGAGTAGATAGGGCCGCAGCCAAGGTGCTGTGGGAAGCGGGAAGGGATGACTAACTGTCCCAAGCAAAGGGGAGGACTTCTCTGAGGAAATAATTTTTTGGTCTTGAAGGAGTAGAAGTTCAGGGATGAAAAGGGGGAAGGTATGGAGACTTTACAGGCAGAAGGGCCACAACCAGTGGCAAGGCAGGGTGGGAGGAGTCACTGAGAATTGGGTTCATCTGTAACTTAGGCTGAAGACCAGACTGGATCCTAAGAACTTTAACCCCAGGGCAGTGGGAAATCCTGAAGAGATTTAAAGGAGGGAGTCAAAGGGTCAGATTTCCTCCTGGTTATGGAAGGTGGGGTAACTTAAAAGGCAGAGCCTGTAAGGTCCTTTTGGGGGCTGCAGCAGGGCCTGCATTAGTGAAGCAAGGTAGGGGCCAGGATGGGCAGTGAAAACCCAGCGGGAGATTTTAAGGAAGGACTTGGAGACCCCAGCTGGTAAGAGTTAGGGCACAGCAAAGATGTCTAAATTTTTGACTGGGGTACTGTCACCCAGGCAAGGATACAGGTCCCTCCAGTGGGTAGGAGATAGCCTGCTTTTATTATTTATTTATTTATTTATTTATTTATTTATTTATTTATGTATTTATTTTGAGACAGAGCTTCATTATTTATTTAGGTCTTTTTGAGACAGGGTCTCCCTGTAGCCCCAGCTGTCCTGGAACTCACTGTGTAGACCAGGCTGGCCTTGAACTCACAGAGATCCTCCTGCCTCTGCCTCCCGAGTGCTGGGATTAAAGGCGTGCGCCACCACGCCCAGCAAGATAGCCTGCTTTTAGATATGGGTGTACGGAGTTTGTGGTGAAGGTGGAGAAAAAGCGGTAGAGGAACTATCCCATTTTCCCCCTCCCACCCAGGCCAGAGCTCACGTCTTGAGCGTGCCAGAGGTCATGAGTTCCGTGACCAGCACGATGCAAACCTGGCCCCTCAGCACTGACTTCCATGAATCGTAGAAGCGAACGATGTTGGGGTGCTGCAGCCCCTTGAGCATTTCCACCTCCTCAGAGAAGCGCTGCCGCTCAGCTCGAGACAGTTTCCGAGTCTGTGGGATGGGTGATGGGGTCACATCAGGCCCAGACCCCCAGGAAAAAGAGCATGGGGCACCTAGGGTAGAGCTGGGAGGAAAAAATGAGGGCTGGAGCACACGGCTGGGGTCCCTTTGGTGAGATCGATAGTCAAACGGGCTGCAGACCCCAAACTTTTAGTTGGTTCCTTCCTTGCTCCAAGAACACACCCATCCTGGGTGGGGCGGCAAATTGGAGGGAGGTCGTGAAGCTTCCTCCTGTTCCACCCCCCCCCCCCCCCCCCCCCCCCCCGCTGGACACAAGGGCCTTTATGTAGCCAGGTCTGGGAGACCAGAGCTCAATAGCGCCTTTGTGGCTGCCCGAGCCGACCGGCCTTGGGGTGGAAGGGGGGTGCTTGGTGGCTGGCAGCCGGCAGGCAGCAAGCGGGCAATGGATGGACCACAGGCAGGGAATTGGGGCCGGCAAGAGGTTGGCCCTAGAAACTAGGAACTGCCGGGTCCAGACAGCAAGCGGAGGACTGCAGAGAAAGGTACCAAGAAAGAAAAGATCCAGGACCGGGCGCCAGGAGACCGCCCCCCACCGTGGCTCCTCCACCCCCCCCCCTTGTCCCTGCCCACTACCAGGGCCTGCCTGCTTCTCCTGGTCTGGCTTAGAGTGGGGTGCGGCACTAGCAGGCACAAGGGGCCAGCCCAGTGAAAGGACCCTTCCTCCAGGTTTTGTCCCCAGTTTGAATCTCAAGTTTCCCCGACCACAGGCACTGGGTTCTCTCCACTCATATGTAGAATGGGAGTAGTGGGAAGAGGATCCTGCCATCCAACATTGTTTAGAAGTCCAAGAGTTGCAAGGGCTCAGCGCTTTTGGCTCTGGAAAGGGGCTCCAGGTAGACAGAGTCAGGACTGGTCTCTGGCTTAGGCTGGAGCTTCCGGTCCCCTCTCCTCGAAACTGTTGAGAAGTCTGGAAGTCTGACTGCTCCAGAAGCAGCCTGAGAGAGCCCCCTTCTGTCATAACTACCCTAAATCTTTCTGGAGGTTGAAAGGGCCTTGGTCCCAGCTCCTGGCCTCCCACATCCCAATTTCTTAGTCTGTAAAGAAGAAGGGGGAGCAAGAGGACCAGGGTCACAGGGAAAGTCTCAGCACTTAGAGGAAAAGCAGAGGAAGGGATGGTATCCAGGGCAGGAGACTGGAGGGGCCAGCCTCCCCACTGAATTGCCCTCCCACCCAATTTCCCAACCTAGATTCCAACCCTCAGATTTGTATGGAGACTTGAAAATGTGAAGGTCCATGTCTACCGGGAGTCACCATATACCCATTTGCCTCAGTTTCTCCTGAACCCACCCAATTAGCCAGATCATACCAACAAGGAGAGCAAGGGTGTCTGGATATCTGATAAGAAAAAAAAAATAATCCTTCCCTTGATGCTGTCCTCCGGGTTTCCCATCCTAAGGCCTCCAAAAGTTCCCATCGTGAGGTGCCACCGAGAGGGCGCCCAGCCGCACCTGCAGTTCACACCAGGCCACTTCTACCGTGGTGTCCGTGTCTAGCCCTCGATACACCGTCTTGAAGGAGCCTCTTCCAATCTCGATGTCAAACTTGAGGTATCGGCCGTCCGGGGACGTGGCCACAGCCTGGGTCTCCGTGTCCTCCTTTTCTTCCTGCTCCCGCCGCCTCTCCCGAGCAGCGGCATCAGGAAGCTTCGGTAGCTCCGGGAACCCCGGGCCTCCTGAAGATCCCGTGAGCTCAGGGAACGCCGGGTCTGCAGCCTTCGGAGGGGCTGCCCCGGCCCACGAGCCCTCCGGGGGCTCTTTGGAGGGAGGTGGTGGGCTCCTCGTGGGGCCCTGGCCAGCGGAGTCCGGAGGATCAGGAGGCTCCGGAACGAGTGAGGCGCGTTGAGACCAGGAGCTCAGCAGTCCCAGGTCGACCGAGCTGCGGCGGCTGGGTCTCGAGCAGCGCGGCCGGGGTTCAGCCTTCCCGGAGAAGCGGCGCACTCGGCGAGGAGGTGGCCACAGGCGGGTGGGCCCCGAAGTGGGGAGAGGCGGCGGTGGCCGGAGGGCCAGGTCAGCCTCGGTTTGGGACATGGGGACCGTGCTCTCGGGGGTCCGAGGTGCCAGCATGGGGAAGGACCGGGCGCCGCGGGGCGGAAAGTCAGCCAGGTGGCCGGACAGGCGGACCCGCCGGGTGCTCAGCGCTCTGGTTGAGCGACTGGGGCCCCAGCCCAGGGCTGGTCTGGCCCGCGACCCGCCCCGGGTCCCGCCCCCTGCCGAGCCCCCGCCCTCAACCCCCAGGGTTGTCCGGGTGAGCGCGGTGCGCCGCCCCTCACTTCGGCTGCCGCTACACCCCCGCCCGGCCGTGTGCCTTCTGCTCCCACGTCCCCACCTTCACCCTTCTTCCCTGGAAGAGCAGAGCGGGAGGCTGCGACAAGCCTTCCCGCACTGGGAGAGCGCAGACCGATTTGGGATGGGGGAGTTGGAGGACGACTCCGGGAGGGGAGAGGCACCGTGATCGCGGCTTCCAGGCCCTAATGGGGAAGGGGGTGGCTAGGGAGAGGCCACCACCCGCCTGCACACCCCTGATAAGGCGGCACTACCGGGGCCTAATCAGCTGGAGTAGCCCCAGACCTAACACAGATGCCAGTGAAAGGTAAGGCTTCCCCCACACAGCTATCCCTCCGGTCTTCATCTGAATATGTGTGCCACAGGACGAGCCCTTCCCCCAAACCAAGAGCTGGTCACCCACCAGCCTCACCTCACCTTGGCCAGAGCTTGGCTCTCGCTAGAACTGCTGTTTTTGCTGTGGGCTCTCCTTCCTCCCCCTTCTGTTTGCCAAAGTCTTCAATAAACCAAAGTCCACATCCGGTTTACCCCCCTAGCTCCCCTTGGCCACAACTACCCCACCCAGACCAGATGGGTGGAGGGAAGGGCTTCAAAATAGTTTAGGACTTTCATGGGTGAGCAATTAAGTGACTCCAATTTAGAGAGCAAGCAGTCTGTCCCCAAGCTGTGTTCCATCAGCACTCCTCCACACAGCCCACTCAGCACATGGAAAACCACAGGCTCACTGGAGTCCCCAGGCCCAGAGGCCCTTCTGTTCAAAGGCCAGAGGATTCCTCTCCTCTTCCCTTGGCTGGGACTCCTTCAGGTACATCTGTTACGCAGCCTTCTCCAACTCCATTCCTAGCAGTAACAACAGGCAGGCAGCTGGAGTTGAGATTTTAATATCATAAATCAGTGTGGCCCTGCCTCTGGCTGCCAGCTGCCAGCCCCTGTCTGGGGCTTCCTATCTTTATATTGCCTGGTAGGCTGCCTGCAGCCGGGGCTTCCCTGGTCCTCTAGAAAGGATCCAGCACCAGCCTGAGACCAGAGGCAACAGCAGCTGAAGGGGTGGGAGCGGGGAGGAGAGAAAAGCTTGTGCAGGTGCATGTGGGTATGTACTTATGTGTGAGAACACATATAAAGTGTCAGGTTTATAGACCCTGGCTCAGGGACAGTCTAGGACAAGAGAGGAGGTAGGGCAAGAAGAAGCACATCCTTTCTCCCTGGCACCCTGGGCTCAACCTATCCCAGGGACAGACATAATGGGAAGTGGAAAAAGCATCCCTAGGTCCCAGCTTTCAGGACTTGAGCCCTTAGAGTCTGGTGGAGTGATGAGCTAGTGTGTGGGGACACTAGGTCTGTCTCCTTTGGAAAGCCCTGGCAAGGGGGAAGGGAAGTAAAGGCAGACAGGTCTCTGCTAGAAGAACTTGACTCCTCGGCCATCACTGACGGTGATAATCTCAGCCTTGTGCTCCTGCTGTAGGGCCTGCAGAGCCCGCAGAAGGGTCGCCTCATCCAGCCCGTGGAACTCTATATAGGAAGAGATGGGCAGTCAGGGATATTCAGTTCCTTTGGTGGTAGAACTAGAAGCCAAGCCCTTACAGAACCAGGGAGCACATATGCTATCTGTACCTCTGAGGCTGCCACCCACACTTCCTAGGAGCACAGGGTGGAAGGCAGCCTTTTGCTAGCAATAAATGAATTCAGGCTTATTTCCCTGCTCCTAAATTCTGAAGATGCAGCCCCCCTCCCCCAACACCTTCTTTCCCTTTGCCCCCTTCAGTATCTGATGCAGCAGTGATATTTTCTGCCTTTGGGCCCATAAAGAAGTAACCCTGCTGGGCGCACGCCTTTAATCCCAGCACTCAGTAGGCAGAGGCAGGCAGATCTCTGTGAGTTCAAGGCCAGCCTGGTCTACATAGTGAGTTCCAGGACAGCTGGGGCTACAAAGAGACCCTGTCTCAAAAAGACAAAAAAAAAAAAAAAAAACCCTGAACATGAGACCCAGGCATGGACTCAAGGCAGGCCAGCTGGGGCTACAAAGAGACCCTGTCTCAAAAAGACAAAAAAAAAAAAAAGTAACCCTGACAATGAGACCTAGGCTAGGACTATAGGCACTATAGACCCTGACCCTAACCACACATTTGTATAAACCTGGAGGACCTGTCTTAACACAAAGAAGGGTAGCCAGCACCCCTAGCTAAAGTCTAGCACCAATAATCTGTCCTTTCCTAGTTGAAAGGGAGCCAAGGGCCAGCTGAGTACCTGGAGATATGGTAAGATACTGTAGGGAGATGTGAGAGGCAGCAGGCAAGCCTTGACAGGCTTGTTCACCTCACCCCCTGCGGGTGCCCAGCTCAAGTCAGGGAGCATGCATTCTGAGGAAACCTCCAGCTTTGCCCAGCCTGAGTGGTGGGCTGGGCCAGGCTACAGCGCTGAAGTCATGGAGTGATGGTAGGAATAGCAAGCAGAGGCCTGCAGGTCAGAGGGGAACAGCCAAGAGGTATAAAGTCTGTTGGGGCAGTCAGAGCCTGGCAGAACACCCACCCCCACCCGTTACCCCAGCAAAGACTGGAACTCTTGGTGATCCTGGGGATCAGAATAGGGAGTCATAGAGAAAAGAGCTAAAAAGTGTTTATGTAAAAATCAAAGAGCATACAAATCCATGCCTGGCACAAACCCAAAGTATTTAAATGGGCTGGGGGTGTTGGCCCAATCCCTTCAGCTGACACCCACAAATCTTGAGCCCTCTATAAGAAGAAAGGGTGAAAGAGAGCCTGAGTCAGCAAGGAGTGAGATTTCAGGCTTAATCTCCCACGCTGGTTCCTCAATTGGCTTCTAGAGTAATAATTCTTAACATACCCTTGAAAATCTCATAATATGAGTTCAAACCCTAGAAAAATGTATAAATATCCACACAAACAAAAGTAGGGTTTTGTTGTTGTTTTAATGCGAACTCAGGTGGTTTATGGAATCTTTGGAGGAAGGTTGAGAACTTTTGCATTATGGGATTCAGAGGCAGGGAAATAGTGTGAAGATGTAGAAAACTAGTATTGGAGAGAAGAGGATTCTGATGACAAAACTAGAAGAAAAAGGCATTACCTTCATCCTCTGTGTCTTCTCCACTGGTCAGTTCATACAAGGTAAACACAGAGTTGTTCTGGCCACTCCTGGAGACCTGTGGACACAGAAAATAAGGACTTAATAAGGACCAAACTCACCAGTTTCCCCTTTTCCTCCAGGAATTGTACCTGTTCCAAAATCAAGACTGTCACCTCTGCAGTGTCCTAAACTCATAAACCCTGCAGGTACTATATTTATATGTGTATACACATATTTGGAACCACTAAACCACAGCCCTTCACGTGTCTCAAAAGTGACCTCTCATTCTGGTTGTTTTTCTGTTAGGAATGGGTGGTGTATATTTGTTATATTTAGGTTATTGATGCCTCCTTCCCTCTTCTCTCCCTTGGGAATGTTTGGGGCTGGTGGTAACTAGGAGTCTGAGGGACAGAGTATTCTGTCCCCACACTTACTGCTTCAGAAGGTCTCATTCATTTGGACAACCCTGTAAAGGCACAGTGGGGGAGGGGACCCTTTTTTTTTTTTTTCCTTCCCTTCCTTTCCCCATTTATCTCCTGTGGCCAGAGGCTCCAGCCAACAATAGCACTCATAGTTCCCAGTACTGCATTCTCCAAACATGGCCTCGCGTAGCCTCTGGCCTCCTACAGGCAAAGAAAGGGAGATTCTGTGCAGTAGAGAAACTGAGTCACTGAAGGATGCTTGCCAGGAAGGCCTGTACTTCCTCCTGCCCCCTCCCCACTTTGTCAAGTCTGGATCTAAGAAAACCAGGTATCTGCTGGGCACAGGCAACCATTCTCCTGTGCTATGGGTCATTGCTTAGTGCTTAGCAGCAAGGTGGCCTCACCCATTGATAAATGAGTTTCCCCCATTCTTCTGGCCTCCGCCACATGATCAGGAAGCTGGACTTACTCTTATCCAACCACTCCAGGTTCCCTGTAAAACAGATACTTATGAAAGCAGCGTGCTCTAAAAAAGGGACATAGAGGCAAATACCAACACGGGATAGAGTGAGACTCTGCTTTCAGAACAAGAGATTCAATATTTATTTTACTATTATTATTTATAAGGCACCCATTCTTCTTAGTCCATTTCTCGTCAGGTTTAGGTTACAGAGATTTTAATTTTATATGGGCAGGGGCACTGGGAATTGTGCCTCCTATAGAATGTTAAGGGCTTTAAGCCAGGGGAGAGAAGAGTGTCATTAAACAGAAAAGACTTGTAATCTGCCCTCAGGAAAACCAACCTAGGAAGTAGTATGTATCTGAGGAACTGAACCCACCTTTCTTCCTCAATTCCTCTAATACAACCTGGATTGATTCCACAGGAAGTTTCCCTGGTTTAAGGTTAAGGGGATGGCATACATATGGACTGAGTTAAATTAAAATTTCAGAGACCATCCCATAATGAGAAATCACCTAACACCTTCCTTTCCTTCCATACATAAATCAATTTTTGAGCTAGAAATTAGCATCTCCTGAATATTCTGGGAAGGAAGGTGAAAAGCTTCCTGTTAGAAGGAAGAGCTAGGAGGGTGTGGTGGCACAGGCCTGTAATACCAGCTCTCAGGAGGTGGAGGCAGGAGGCTCACCAGTTCCAGGACAACTGGACCTACACAGTGAGACTGGGTCTCAACAAAAAGCAAACTAAAGGTATCACCCTTCCCCTCATCCTCTCCCCTTTACTCCACAGATATTTCAGACATGAATCAGAAAGCAAAAACAAATGACTCTCACTTCCAGGAAGAGGTGGCGTTAAGTGCAGAAAATTATTAAAGGTGCTTCATCACATAGAAGTTTGAACCTTACATAGAGCAAATTTGAATAGCCTAAAAGGGCTCAGGCTGAAAAGCTTAGAACTTGCTTACAGGCCAAGATTCCAAGACCCAAGCATTCATCAATGCTAGGACAAGGGGGCTGGCACTACCTGGAGGGTGAGCATCAAATGGATGTCTGCCATATACCCTAGCTATTTCCCAAGTCCAGTTTGAGTAGAAACCTGCCTACTATGGGTAAGGGGGGCAGGTGGGAGATGGAAGTCTGGGCTTGTAGAAAAGGGTGAGCGTGTATGTGTGGGGGCTATGGGAGAGCCTCAGGGAGGATACGCTGCAGCTTGACGTTGTTGAAGAGCGGGCTCTCCTGCGCTTCCATCACGGTCATGCTGGACTGTTTGTGCAGGCGGCAGAAGGACAGAACCAGAGAGCACCAGGCGGCCAGCTGCTTCTGCCGAGTGTCCACGTTCGGCTGTAACCTGCCGGGTGAAGGGAATGGGACGCAGTTAGCGTGCACCACCTGCCCAGGGACACTTTAGGGGAGGCAGTAAGGGACTGTGCGGGTGGAGGCGGGCGGGTCCTTTTTCCCCCGGTCACCAAGTGAAGAAGCATCAGGGCTAAGCCCAGGGCCCCGGGGAGGGGAGGGAGTCACACGGGACTTCTCGGGATCTGAGCCTCACGTAAAGAAGGGCGGGAAGCGATACTGCCACGGCCACTCGAAACTCATCGCCATCGTAGTAGCCCAAAATCCCGGAACCAACAAGGACTTCCGGTCTCCGCCTCAGCACGTCCGGGCAGAAAGCACAGAAGAAAGGTTCCGGACATCTCTCAGGAGGTCTGCGGTGGGGTGGGAGGTGTCCCTGGAAATGGCCAATCTCCTGCCTCTGCCCTAAAAAGCTGTACCCAGGACGTCTTCTGGTTCAAGCCCAGTAAAGAGTAGTGACTTTCCCAAAGTGGTGCAGTTCGTTAGTAGAGCATAAATAGGATACACATCTCCAAACGTCAGCTCCATTATACGGGACTTCCTTATATTCGTTTCAGTGACCATTTAATTTAAATGCATGATTCCGCAATCTTCTTCATTCCTACGTACTTTGACATGCCTCCTACGTTTCCTGTAGAACCCGTGGGAGCATATTTTGTGGCTTGTATCACTACAGGCTGCTCTGCTTCCTTCAAAGAGTCAGAGCTGACATTTAACCATCACCTCTCCCACCACCTCACCTTTCTAGTCTCAAGTCCTAGGATCTCTCTTGGTCTTATCTGACTCATTACCCAGCCTACACTGCTTGGTTCTGTCCCCTTGTCTCTGGTCATTTTCCAAACCAGGATTATTCCTCCCACCCCCAACCCTACTCCTGAGCTATGGAAAATTGCTGGGGAAGACAAATTACCAGAACGTGTTTCCTACAGTCCTAGATTCTCTGACTAATCTCACTCCTGTGTTCTCAGGAGAGCCTGGATGGACTTAGAAATGTAAATTTGGGTCAACTGCCCTGAAATGGAATATGAACCTCTAGGAGGGATGAGAGCTCTTAAGACAAAGGTGTATTGAAAAGAAAGTGGAGGTCTGACTCCTAAGAAATGCTCATCTTTAAAGAATGAGGGGAAGCTGGGCTGTTTTCATTGACTCCCAGTCACCTTCATTTATCAAGACATTCCACCTGTCCCCATCATTATGCTCCCTCTCTGTTTTATGAGATTGACATTAGGCACGTGTACGTCTTAATCTTTCCCTGTCACTATATTTGATTCATATCTCAAAAACTCCTCTCCACTTTTACGCCTTCCTTTTGGACTCAAAGAAGTGTCACTCTTCCTTTACAAGGCCAACACATCACTACATATTCTTGCCTCTCCTTTCCAACTTCCTCCAAGATATCTCTATCATCTTTCTTATGTTATAAAATGCTCAATTTATCCCTATTTAAAAGTAATATCTAGGGACTAGAGAGAGAGCTCAGTGGTTAAGAGCACTGTTTGGTCTTGTAGAGGACCCAGTTAAATTCCCAGCACCCACATAGTAGCTAACAACCATCCATCCATAAGTCCAGTTCCAGGGGAATCCAGTGCCCATTCTGACTTCCGCAGACATTGCATGACACTGGTACACTTATATACATGCGGGCAATACACTCTTATACATACAATAAAAAAGAGTAAATAAAATATTTTTTTAAGCTGGGCCTGGTGGCACACACCTTTAATCTCAGCACTAGGGAGGCCGAGGCAGGTGGACCTCTGTGAGTTCAAGGCCAGCTTGGTCTACATAGTAAGTTCCAGGTCAGCTGGGGCTACAGGGAGAACCTGTCTCAAAAAGACCCCCCCCAATATATATATATATATATATATTAATAAATAAAAGTAATGTGTAGCCCTTGACCTGCCAGCTCAACTTCCTGTCTGATTTCTAACCTTTTCTCATTCAAGTTCGTCCTTCATTATGTGCAGTTTCTGGTTCACAGTGTGACTAACAAAATATCTGTTGTGCACATGAACCATTTAATTGATAATGCTTTCCCAAACACCACCATTTCTTTTTGCCTTCATTACATGGTTTTATCCTTTCTGCTGCTATGTCTTTGATCTTTCCTCTCCCCCATTCTTTTTCATTTGTTTTGTCTCACTTTGTAGCTCAGGCTTGCCTTGAATTCATTGTGTAACCCAGGCTGGTCTCAAATTCACTGTCCTCCTGCCTCAACACTCTAAGTGCTGGGATTACATATATGTACCATACTTGGCTATGGTACACAAAGAAAACAATTTTTTTTGAGATGGAGTCTCACCATGTAGCCAGGCTGGCCTCAAACTCCATCCTCCTGCCTCAGCCTACCCAGTGTTGGGATTACTGGTGCATTCCACCACACCTGGCTTTCTTTCATTCTTTAAAGGTGATTATTTCTCTAGGAGTCAAACCTCAACCACCTTCTTTTCAATACAACTTTAGAGCTCTCATCCTTCCTATGAATTCATACTGCATTTTGGGGCAGAATACACCCCAAATTATATTTATACATCCACCCTCATCTCACTGCCCCATCCCAATTGTTGATTCTCTTTGGGGGCATAACAACTTGTCCCATTGTAACCTCAGGTTGTACATCTCTTTCTTCTTCTTTCCTCCTCCTCCTCCTCCTCCTCCTCTTCCTCCTCCTCCTCCTCCTTCTCTTCCTCCTCCTCCTCCTCCTCCTCCTCCTCTGCCTCCTTCTCCTCCTCCTCTTACTTCTACTTCACACAGGGTCTCATATAGCCCAGGCTGCTCTGGAACTCCCTATGTAAGGAAGGATGATGTCAAACTCTATGTTCTGAGTGCTGAGATTAGAAATATGCACCACCTTATCTGGCTACATGCTCTTCTTTTTTGAAAAATATTTTTTATTTACATTTATGTGTGAATATCAGTGTGTGTGTGTGTGTGTGTGTGTGCACATGCATGCAAGTGCCCATGGAGGCCAGAAGAGGGTGTCAGATGATCCCTTGGAGATGGAATTACAGGCAGTTATGAGCTGCCTGTTGTAGGTGCTGGGAATTGAACCCAGATCCTCTGCAAGAGCAGCAAGCACTCTTAACCTCTGAGCAACCTCTTCTGTCCCCCTACATCCTTTTCTTCAGGCAAGTTCTTCCTCCTAATAGCCTTTTTCTATTATAACTGTCATCTTTGTTATAGTAAATCAAGCTCAAAGTCTGACTTAACACTAACATCTCTTCTTCATCCCTCATGCCCAATCCTACAGATTCCCTTCACCAACTTTAATACTACTTCCTGCTTCATAATTCTTTTCCATTTCTCTGTTCATTGCTGCTTTGGTCATGTCCTTATTTTCTCACTCCTGGAATAATAGCCCAGTTGATGCTCTTTTTTTACTCGCTCCCCTAAGAGAACAGACTCCGTTTAAGTTCTTGTCACATACCAACTCTGCAGTCACCCTCCTGTGACTACATGTTGTGGTTTGGTATATGAAATATTTCTCCAAAATATTTGTGTTGAAGGTTTGGTCCTCCCCTAGGGAGTATTGAGAAGTAATTGGATCATGAGGACATTAACTTCATCAAGGAATTCATAGATGAATGGGCTGTTAGGAGGTGGGGCCTGAATGGAGGCAGTAGGTCACTGGTGACATGACTAGATAAGCACAGTTTCTGGTTCACAGTGTGACCACACTCTGTCTTCTAGCTGCCATGAGGTGAGCAGTTCTGCTCTGCCACATGCTTCCTGCCATGATGTTCTACCTCACAAAGTGACATGCATGGGAACCTCTGGAATGATAATCAAAAATAAGACTTTCCTCCTTGAAGTTGCTTTCACTGGGCATCTTGTCACAAGCAACAGAGAGGCTAACGTGCCACATCTCTTGTGATCCTTGAGGCATGTGGTTGCTTCTTCCTTTGCACTTAAATACTAATCTGGCCTGTTTCCCTTGCATGACTGTCATCATACATTCCATTATTAATTTATGTGTATATGACAAATTTCCCAATAGACGAAAGCCATTGAGTAGAAACCAGAATCTAGCCTATCTTTAAAAAATATTTTATTTATTATTTTTCTTTTATGAGTGTGAGTGTACTGTGTGCAAGTGCATGTGTGTCATGCAATGCTCACTGAGGTCAGAATAGGGTGTGAATCCCCTGGAACTGTAGTTACAGATGGTTGTTAGCTGCCATGTGGGTGCTGGGAATCAAACTCTGGTCCTCTATAAGAGTAGCTGATACTCTTAACCACTGAGCCATTTTTCCATCCAGTCTCCCATTTTATAAATCTGAAATTATTCAAGTTATAGCTTTAAATTAACATGAAAAATAAAAATAAATCTTTTAAAAATATATTTTTTAGTTTTTTAAATGTGTATGAATGTTTTGCACATGTGTGCCAGTGCACCTGTGTCCTGCAATGCCCTCAGAGTCCAGAAGAGGATGTCGAATCCCCTGGAACTGGAGTTAAAGACAGTTGTTAGCTGCCATGTGGGTGCTGGGAACCGAACTCAGGTCCTCTGTAAGAGCAACCAATGCTCTCCAGTCCCTAACCTATCTTTACAACACTATACTACACACACTGTTTTATACCAGCAGGCCCCTGTTCAATGAGCAAAATGTAGTAAAATGTATGAAGGTAACTATGTGCCAAGAAGGGATGGATTTATCTTTGGGGAAGACAGATATATTCATGGAAACAGAGGAAATATTTATCTCAGCTGAAAATTCAAAATATCCTTAGATGACAGCTGTGTCCCAAGAGAAGTGTATCTTTGAGAATGAACAGATAGGTTCCAAGAAACTCAGGCATATATCTATGAAATAGATAGACCTGTGCCAGGAAACAGACGTGTTTGTGCTCGGGAAACAGATATTTCAACAAGGAAAATGAAAGTCTCTAAAGAGGTTGCTGGTGCCACAAAGGATAAACAGATGTTTCCATGGAGAACAAAGTTGTTTTGTACTTGTTTGGGGGGACCTGGTAAGTGTGTTCCAGGGAGGATTGGAAATGAGAGTTCCCTGGTGAGAATGGATCCTTGTTGTCTGGGAAACATTGTTCAGATATACACAAATGGTACTTTGCAGAGAAGACGTAGGTGTATCAACAGAGAGGCTTATCAATATTGTTCAGGAAGCTGATAGAAGGGCCCAGCTAAGACCTTGGTTAAGGAGGTAACAGGTCTCTGAATCCCAGGGTCCAGTGTTCCTCAGAGCTTACAGATCACACACATTGTCTGGTTGCTGGTTTTAGTGAACACCAGGGGGCACTGTGTGGCCATGACAGGTCTAGGACAATGGGGGATGAAGGCCAGGAACCTAGAGGGAAATGTAGACTCTAATAGAGGAAGTCCCCATGGCCTTGGGCCTCAATCTTGAGGTCTGTAAGGATAACTGCCTGTTGCTAGTCAAATTTCCTCTTCCTAGGCTGTAGGAGTAAACTGAGGCATGAAGAAGGGGAAAGTCAGGGCTCCTGGGTAGTAGAGATTCCTTCTCCCTCCTCCCACCCCTCCCCAATCACAGCTGCTGTTTGGACGGGAAGGGAGTCTCTTCCTGCTTGTTTCCTGGAGTTGGGTTTGGATAGGGGCAGGAAAGGCCCCTCCCTGGGAGGAGACTATAGGGGTTTAGCTTTCATGTGGGGCAGAGGGCAGGTGAAATGAACAGAACAGCAGGGCCATCTAGATCCTTCCAGCTCCACTGGCCAGCAATGAGGTCCTGTAGAAAGACCATCAACTGTGGGAAGGACACAGACTCTATTAAGAAGGGAATATTGTACAAAAACAATTTGTTTTTATTTTGAAGATTACAAAAATTGTGCCACGACTCCACTTGGCTTCCATTTTCGCCAATCCAAAGATCTTTGGTGAGGATGAAAGAGAGGGGGTGGGGGTTGGGTGGTAGGGGAAGAGAGAGGAGGGGAAGAGAGATTTCTGGTCCCAGTAGGGAAAAGGGGAAAGGAAAAAAATGGCCATTGGTTGAGATGATCATGACCCTAGGCTTGGGTCTCTCCATCTTTACTTCTCCACACCACAAGTGTGACAAGGAAAGGGATGAGGCAAATGGGGGCTATGATCATGGCCAAGAGCACATCCTCTGGGGGATCAGAAAAGGTGGGCTGCACCAGGGAGCAGTTGGCAAAGTGTATCAGGTGGGTCTCAAAGATGATCCTTTCTGCCAGGGGATTGGGAAAGCCTAGGCCAAACTTCTCCGCCTGGTACTCCAAGCAATATTGCAGGTCACTATAATGCCTGGTGGGGGGTGGTGTAGAAATAGAGGACTTGAGTGAGGGAGGAGTTAGGCCCAGGGAGAAGGGCATCCCATATTCATGCAAGGTCCATCCACAAAGAAGAAGCCCAACCCTTGGCCTGAGCCACCCTCCAGCACTGCCCCTACCTGCTAATCAAAGTCCAGTTGCACCAGTCCTTGACAGAGTCCATATGACTCTTATAATGAAACCAGCAAGGTAGGACATTTATCTCATAGTTTTCCACCAAATTCCCTGTGGGGACAGATGCTTCACAATGACCACATCCCTGGCCCTCCCTCCAAGCCTTCTGGCCTAGGTATTTCCAAAGTAGAGATCCCTGCCTTTACATATGGGAATCCTTTCAAAAATCTCCCTAGCCAGACACTTGTGGTTGAGCTGATGGTCCTGGCTCTGGAATCCTGTGATGGCTTCCATGTGCGTACTTCCTTTCCCAGCCTGACAGGCCCTTCCACATACACATTAGCTGGGCTTTCCTCACCCACCTGTAAGGCAGGCCATCTCAAAACTGGGCTTGGGCTTTGTGTGGTAACAGGGAGAAAGACCATAAAGAACCCCAAGAGAGACCAGGCAGGTTAGTGGGGCAGCAACTAGTGTTAGGCCTGGCCTGTGGGAAAAGGTCCTCTCCTTTGAGCTGGCTCTGCTCTGGCCCTAGGTTGTTCTCCCACCGGATTAGGCACCCACCTTTTGACGGGAAGCTGTCCACAGTGGGAAGAGACTCAGTCCGGGACTCCTGAGAAGTTGGGGCGACTGTAAGAAGAAATGGGAGAGAAGGGTGGGATGATGTGGGGGGGGGCGGGTCTGGGGCCCTGTAAGTCAGGGGCATCTTGGAATATAAAGAGGAAATAGCCTCTCTCATCCCCTCGGGATGTCTTAGTTCGGGAAGAGGGCGGCTGGTACCAGCTGCGTCCCACTTGCATCCCGGCCCAAAGTCCTCCCTTCTTGAAAGCCCGGGACTTCCCAAGAGGGACCCCGGCGGGCACACCAGCTTTCCTTAAGTGGGAAGCCGCTGGCCTGCGCCAACCGGGAGATGCAGCTAGAGGCGGTCTGCAGGACAGCGATGCTCCGCAGGTCGGTCTGCACCCGCATGGTGGCCGGTGCTGGCCCGGGTGGTCCAGGCCGCTTCCCCTCCGGGACCTCCGGAGTCTCCCACTCGGCCCTGGGCGCTGCGCTCACCACCCAGCAGGAGCAGCAGGAGGAGGCGGAGCACTGCCGGCCGCCCGCTACAGAGCCACAGGAGCCGCGATCCATCCACGGCGCGCTCCGCCATCGCGCGGCGAGAAGGCTAGGAGGGGCGGCGGAGCTGAGCGGGCCCGGGCGGGGGCGCCTATATCCCCGGCCCGAGCCGCAGGAAGCCGCGCCGCTTCCTCGGAGGGGCTGGAACCGCTGCAGCCACGTGGGGGGCGGGGGCGACGCCCGGGCCAGGGCTGCAGGGGGAGTCGTGGCCGCGCCTAGCGCTCGGGACTGCCTGCGCGTCGCGCCGGCGCTCTCTTCCAGCTGGCGCTGTGGGGCTGGACAGCTCCCCGCGACACCCCAGAACAGGGATCCATTTCCTGGGTCCCTCCGTCGGTCTCCCAGGACTAGCTCTGGTTTCCCAGCATTAGCTGTGGGGATTCAAGTCGCCCCCTCCTCCTCGCGCGGGAGGGGTGGCAGCAGCTGCTCTCCCAGACTTGGGGAAGAGGGAGGGGTCTGGGAGCTCCCTGGGCCTCCCGACGCCGGGTATCTAAGGCGGGGGGCTGGGGGAAGGGGCGTCTGGAGCTACGCCCGCCCGCTGCGAGTTCCTTTATGCCAGGGGAACACCCACTGATGTTAGCCCGTCTGCCAAAACCCGGGGAGGAGAGGAGGCCGGACCTACCGAATCTGGAAAAGGGGAGAAGTCTGGGGGAGTGGGGTAAAGAGGAAATTAAAGTCCAAATAGCCCCCTCACGGCACGTTTCTAGGCTCTTCACCCCCATACCTGATATGAGGGTGCAAAAGGTAAGATGGCTACATTTCCAGGAAGATGACCACTCAGGTTTTTAGAAAGAAAGGGCTTAGAACGTCCAATGTACCACTTAATATACAAAGTGAGTTGTTTTATTATTGTTGTGCATATTATTATTATTATTTTTTTATTATTATTATTGCCTGAGACAGAACCCCAACCCCAAGGTGGTATATTATTATCATCACCATCTAAGGCCCAAGGAAAGAGCCCAGGGCTTGAACTGAGAAGCTATGGTCCTGAGGACACATTTGTCATCAGGGATTCTCAAACGTTGCCCTCCTCCCTAACCTATTGTTAGCATCATCTGTGGATGGCCATTGCACTCACTTCACAGAAGGGTTTCCTTTTCTTCTTTCCTAAGTGATCTGAGTAAGGTCACATTGCTGAGAGGCCCCCAAGGCTCATCGTGAGCCCCCAGGAACCCTGCCTCCTACCACAGCTCAGCTGCCTCTGCATCCTAGGTCAGAGATTCATTAGCCTAAAGCAGCCCAGGAGCTGGTTTGGCCATGATGTTCAACTCCAGACACAGCTGTCAGCAGGGAACTTTCCCAATTACTCCCAGACATTGACCCCTGGACTTAGCTGCTGCTGTTGTCCTAGTTTTCTGATTCCTGTCCACCACAAATTATCTTTCATAATCTCTCTTAAAATTGCCATCTCAGGAGCTCATGCTGCTGCATCATGGCCTGTGTCCTCCTCCATAGCTAGAATCAGCAGACTGCTTTAGCATGGCATCTATGGAAGAAGTGAGGTGCCCTGCTGGACATATACCCCAAAGTCCTGTTAGTGGGGATCATTCCTACAATGGTGCAGAAAAGAGACAGGCAGCCAGGACCAAGTTTATCTCTTTCCTCCTACTCAGGTTGTCTTTTTCTTTTAAATTTTCTTTTATTTTTATAAACTGGGCATGGTGGCTCACACCTTTAATCCCAGTACTCTGGAGGCAGAGGAGGGCAGATCTCTATGAGACAGAGGCCAGCCTGGTCTACATAGCAAGTTCCAGGCCAACTGGTTGCTCTTGCAGAAGACCCAGTTTCATATCCCAGCACCCACAAGGTGGCTAACAACCATCTCTAACTCCAGTTCCAGGGTATCTGACTCCCTCTTCTGGCTTCCAAGGGCACTGCACGACACCGCTGTACTTATACACATGCAGGTATAACACTCACACATAAAAAAATAAATAAAAAATTTAAAACTTTTAAAAACTATTTTGTTCTTTACTTGTGTGTATCTGTGTCTTTGTGCATCTATATGCACATGTGTGCAAATGTCTGAGGATGTCAGAAGAGGTGTCAGGATCCCCTGAAGCTGTTGTAAGCCACCTGATGAGGGTGCTAGGAATTGAACTCTGGTCCTCTGCAACAGCAACAAGTGTTCTTAACCACTGAGATATCTCCCTAGCCCCTTTGTTCCATCCTCCATCCCTCCCTCCCTCCCTTCCTTTGTTTTTTCTTTTTTAAAATTTTATTTATTAGCAATGCCCACAGAGGTCAGAAGAGGCTGCTGGATCCCCTGGGACTGGAGTTACAGACAGTTGTTAGCCACCATGTGGGTGTTGGGATTTGAACCTGGGTCTTCTGCAAGAACAACCAGTGTTCTTAACTGCTGAGACATCTCTCCAATCCCTCTTTGTTTTTTCTTTCAGGACAGGCTCCCATCTAACCCCAAATGGTCAGCTTAGACAAGGATGACCCATCCTCCGGTCTCCACTTTCTGAGTACTGAGATTATACTTGTGCACTACGATACCCAGTTTGTGCTGTGCTGGGGATAAAAACCAGGGCCTCATGTGTGCGAGGCAATCACTCTATCACCTGTGCTACTTTCCAGGCCAGGACTACTGTTTCCAAGACAGAAGCTTGGTTTAGAGGGGTTTGGGTGATAAGACTGAAAAGTGAGCTAGGGCTGGGTGTGGTGGCACATGCCTTTAATCCCAGCACTCAGGAGACAGAGGCAGGTGGATTCTCTGTGAGTTCGAGGCCAGCCTGGTCTACAGAGTGAGTTCCAGGCACCTGGAGCTACAAGGAGAAACCTTGTCTCAAGAACAAAAAAAAAAAAAAAAAAAAAAGAAAGAAAAAAAAAAAAAAAAAAAAAAAAAAAAAAAAAAAAAAAAAAAAAGAAAAGTGAGCTAGGAAGAGCAGAAAAAAAAAAACTAAACCATTTCCTCTGGAGTCCACTATGGGTTGGGACGGGAGTTAGGGTCAAGATTAAAAGTGATGGAAGCAAATGTGGGGTTTTAAATAGGGTAGTCTAACATAATGGTTAAAAAGAAAACACTGGTAGGTTAGGATACTGAAAATAGGTCCTGCTTCTGCCTTTTTATGGAAACTTGGGCAGGTCATTTGTCTTTCGTTTTCTTTTTTTTTTTTTTTTTTTTTTTTTTTTTTTTTTTTTTTGTTTTTGTCTTTTTTTGAGACAGGGGCTCCCTGCAGCCTCAGCTAGCCTGGAAGTCACCATGTAGACCAGGCTGGCCTCTAACTCACAGAGATCCACCTGCCTCTGCCTCTGGATTGCTGGAATTAAAGGTGTGTGCCACCACGTCTAGGTATAGGTCATTATTCTACCTCTGGAGCTCAACGTTTTCATAAGTAAAGTTTATGAATCAAAAGGTTAGAATCAAAA